GCTGACACTATGCTTTTTTGAATGGCTATCTAAAATATGTTCAGTCGGATAATTTATTTAACATATGTTGATAATCAGTGGTACAGCCTCTTTTTTAGCAAATCATTAACATCCGCCTGAAACATCGTAAATAGCTTCATCTCATCGTAACCTACAACTATTTTATTTACAAAAACTTTGGGAATTGGGTAGTTTTCAATCTAGAGATCAGTAAGCTTTGTCGATTTAATTATGTACTAAAAACTTGTAAATAGCCATTTGCTTTCCACTTGAATCATAAGATAACTTGAGCACAAAATCGATAAACAAGGTAGTCCTACAAAAATATTGGACCGTTTGTCCTACACGACCTCGTTATTTTGACAATTTGGCGGTGTAGGCCACGCCAAACGGCTCAATATTTTTGAAGGTCTTATTTATCGAATTTGTGCTCAAGTTATTTTATGATTCGAGCGGAAAGAAAATGGGTATTTACTCGTTTTTAGTATCTAATTAAATTACAAAGTTTGCTCCTCCCCCTGGAGATGATTCGTTGATGGAGGAACGGGTCCAGAGGAACGGCTAAATGGGACGGAGGAATGGGGAACGGTATCAAAGCATCGAGCTCATCTTTTGGCTCCTCTGGGTTTTTCTTTATATTTGACCACTCATCACCACAGGCGTATTACGGGGGGGAGGGGGCTTTTGGGCCGAAGCCCCCAAAAATGGTAAATATAACCATATTTTACAGAAAAAAGTTTTAAAAACTATATCTTAAAGTATTCTTGTTCGAGTAATTAATTGAATAGGACTTCAAGAACCAATTAAACACCATTTCATATAGTTAAATAATTTCTTTCTTCTTTTCAAATTAATTATCGGCGTGTGTGTGTGTGTGTGTGCTTAAAAAAGCTTTTATATTGTCGTAAAAATAATTTTATCATAAAATTGATAATCCTCCTTAAAAAACTTGAAAAATCAGGTATTGCTTACCCAAATGAAAAAAGAAAATTGATGGTGTAGTACTTAAAAAAAAACTTTTAAAAAATCAGCTTATGCACAAAAAAACTTAGGTAAACCCAATTACAAATGAATGTGAAAGAATTAAACTAGAAGTTCCTACACATTAGAACTCGAATTGGTACTACACATCAAATACGCTTTGATATCATCTCTCCAATTCCTTAACAGCTCAGAGGATAAACTCCATCTGAGAAATGGAGGTTTTCGAATATTAAATTAAAATATTAGAAATATATTACGATTATTTACAGAATAAATGAGTATCGAGAAATCAATCTCGTTGCATAAGAATGGTTTTTGAATTGAGCACTACTCGCATTCTTACAGAAATATAAAAGAACAACGAAGTAAATATTAGGGAATACAAAATAACTGCAGGTCAATAATGTTAAATATAAAAAATGTAGTTGTTACTAAATAATGCATATTATAAAATTACTAAAACATTTCATTTAATTCTAATAAATAAAATCTTAGGATTAATAAAATCATTAATAAAATTGTTTTGAGGAATTGAAAAGATCCTTGTTTAATATACGATTAGTTAATTATAATAAACATGAAAATATTCCTATTATTTTACAAAAGAACACCTTAATAAAAGGTTTAATTCAGAAATAAAACAACAAATGTCAGAAGGATCTAATAAACGAAAGAAAGGGAAGACTCGCAAATTAGCCACCCGAAGACCGTGAAAGAAAAGGCAGAAGAACATACGATTCAGTGAACGAAAAAAAAAACACAGCGGTCATCTTGTTCATTGTTCATGAATAAATCCCACCTCCTCGAGTCAAGGTCAATAAAACTACCAGGTTCGCTCACTCAGAAATGCGTGGTGGGGGAATTTGAAACGTGACGTAAGGAATAGACTGCCAGACCTACCTATTACTCTTTCAAGCCTATCAATGAAGGCTTATTTCAACATTATTGTGCTTTTTTTTTCTGTTTTCTTGTTTAATTTATTGAGAACAATACTTTTCTGTATTTTTGACGTTTGATTGAAGACAATTTCAAGTAGATAAATAAATAAATACGGCTATTAATCTAGAATAAAATGCTATGAAAATTACAGGCCAGGCCTGAAATGAAAAGAACGAAATTGATATTAAGATTATTTATAAATTCTTTTTTTCAAAATCTCTGTAAATAATGTATAAATATATTACATAAATAGAAAAAACTAAGATTTATATTTATTTAGAGAACATTTTAGCACAATGTTTTTGTAATTTTGTTTGTAGATCTCGTGGGTATTTCTTTCAATATTATAACGATATTATAAGGGTGAAGATCTTTGTCAGGATTTGCAGTCAAAATTTCTTTAAATAAATAAATTTAATTAAAAAAATAAACAAATTTTACTGCAAATCCTGATAATTTATTTTCACCTTATAATCTTAAATCTTAACAGTCAACTACTTATCCGTCTCTAAAATAATATTATAACGAGTATTTATTTTTTATTTTTAATAACATGTTATAGAGAATTCGTTTGTTCTTATTAGTATTTCTTGTATTTCTCATAATAACATAATTATTAATAGAATCCTATAGAATTCCAGGTACAAAATGAGCAGATGCATCTTGCAACAATAATCTAATTGACACAAAGAAGATGGAAAAGAAAATTTCATTTCATACTTTTCCAAAGGACGCTCGAAGAAAAGATTGGATTTTAAAATGTAAATGTAAAAACAGCTTCTTGGTTTTGCTGATGATATTGACATAATAGGTAGGTCTGAACGGGCTCTCAGAGAAGCGTTTATAGGCCTTGAAGCAGCTGCAAGACCACTTGGTCTAGAAGTCAACGAGAGGAAAACTAAGTATATGAGAGTTGGTGGTGAGGTGGATCTGAACTCTTCATTTGAGGTAGGTTCTTTTAAGTTTGAGAGAGTGAAAAGTTTTATATACCTTGGGTCTGAAATTAATAGCAAGAATGACATGGCTCAAGAAATACAAAGAAGGATCACGGCTGCCAATAGATGTGTCTTTGGACTTGGCCGACACTTAAGAAGTAGGTACCTCTCAAAGAAGACCAAGCTGATCATATACAAGACCCTTGTTCGGCCTGTTTTGACATATGGCTCAGAGGCTTGGAGGATGAATAAAAGGGATGAGATGAAGCTGAGTGTCTTTGAGCGAGGAGTCCTCAGAAGGATTTATGGTCCAGTAAAGGAGGGTGATGTCTGGAGGAAAAGAAAAAATAGGGAGCTCAGTTCTCTCTATGCAGACATCGACGTAGTCACGTATATTAAACTGGCCAGACTAAGGTGGGCAGGGCATGTGGCCAGAATGAGCACCCTTGAAATACCAAAAAAAATAATGATGGAGGAGCTGCACCTCGTAAGACGGGTAGGAAGGCCGAGGACGAGATGGTTGGACAACGTGGCCTATGATGCGAGAACCCTGCTTGGTGTGCGGAACTGGAGAGCTGCGGCAGAAGACAGAGCCAACTGGCGGAGGCTCTTGGAGGAGGCCCAGTCTCGGTAACGGGATGTTGTGCCATACATGATGATGATGAAATGTAAAAATATTGCAAAAAAAACAAATATTTAAAAAAAATTTACTATCTTTTTCTTAGGAAACAAAATGTAGAAAGCCTTTCTTTCAGCAACTGGTATTTAATAGAATCAAATTTTTAAATACCCAATTATTTTTGCAATTAAGAAAACATGAAATCACAGCCAAAATACTTGAGAAAAATCACTACATATAGGATTACTTATGACATAAAAATGTAATATTTACAAAAATTCACTTAAAGAAAACGTTTTTTTAATGTTAGATTAAATACTTTTTCTTTTTTTTTTTTTCAATATTTCTATTATTTTATATTATACTCTGTATTAATTTAAAAAGTAGTATTGTGGTACTTTGCAAAAAATCATACATCAACTTGTTAATTTTATTTTACATTTTATTTGCTTCAGAATAAACCAAATATCAAATCAACCTTTCTCTCACCTTTCAAATTTATTAAAATTAATAAGTTATTTGGCAATATAGTATTGATTTAATGTATAAAAGTAAATAATAATCTTAAAATGTCCAGAAACAAAGGCCGAAGGGGTAAAATCAGTCTTTTGGTTAGGTCAGATTGTTCCCCACCATTTTCACCATTGAGTGAGGGAACCTGGTAATTTTACTGACCTTGTCCTTGGGTATAAACAAAACTGTCTAAATACAATACACTACCTTAATGAAATCCGAAAACAATATAATAATAAGGGCCTAGTTGGGGGAGGGGGGCCAAAAACATAAGGAAATATACAAATTTAAAACAATTAGGAGAGGTCTTTCAGGCTGAAGTCCTTCCCCAAAATGGTTAAATGTAACCATGTCTTATGGTAAAAAATATTAAAAACCATCTCTTACAGTATTATTGTTCGTGTAATTAATATGACTTCTAGAATCACTTAAACACCATTTCATATAGGTAGTTAATATCCATCTATTTTTTCCAAAGTAATTATCGTTATATATATGAAAAAAAAATTTGGACTGAAGCCTCTCCAAAATTAAATCCTAGTAAGAACAGATAGATAAGATCACAGGAATGGTTTATTGCTTGCTTATAAGTCCACTGTAATTTCTGAAATCCGTAAGTTCTGTAAGCATATAAGTAACTCTTACATATACATATACTCTTACTCTTACATATACCTGTGATTTTATCTATAATAATTTGATAATACAATAAAAATAATTAGATAAAGTTTAAACATAATTTTATGTTCAAGTAACTTATTGTTAATAGTATTGAGTGTTATGACATGTAGCGCTCCTGTTGGCGAATCATTCAAATTTATGAAGTAATGACACACTTGTTATTTCACATTTCTTATAATACGTAATATCTTTCATCTAATTCAAACTAATTATTATTAAGTTTTTAATTTATCAATTCATATCTCTTTATAAATCTAGGAACAGTGTCCTGGTACTTTTAAGAAAGTAAATATAATGCAATAAAAGATATTAATGCCCGCACCCTGCCCAATTATTTGAATTACTCAATTATACCGAAGTTCCCTCTAAAGTATGACGTATTAGGCAAGGAGTGATTATTTTGGTTTAGTAATGTTTTGGCCCCAAACAGCTGACTAGTAGGTTATTAATATGGTTTCCTTTGTATCCTATTTTCGACGTAGTTTCTTTACTATCTACTGTTCTGGGAAAATTTCACTTGCTAGTTAATTACTATGGGAACTTAATTTTATCTTATAAAAGAAGTTAATTTTTTCACAACATAAAATGGTTGAGCCCATATTTGATTACCAATTCCGTCTGATATTAATTGGTGACAGTACAGTGGGAAAAAGTTCATTGTTGAAATACTTCACTGATGGAAAATTTGCTGAGGTGATTCATTTCTTTGTTTTATTGAATGATAAGTATCATTAAAATTAATAGGTTGTAATAATTTTATGTGGATTTTAAGGTGTCAGATCCAACTGTGGGAGTTGATTTTTTCGCTAGACTAATAGAAGTTAAAAACGGTACTAGAATAAAACTTCAACTTTGGGATACTGCAGGACAAGAAAGGTTTAGGTAAGTTTTTGAATTTTATTAATTCACTTTAGCCTTTCATATCTAACCTTATCTCATGTTAATCTTGATTAGTGATTTTATGTTAATGCTAGCATACACTGTTAAAGGTTAATACAGATTATAACTGTTTTAAATAATGAATTGATGCTTCCAGGTCAATTACAAAATCATATTATAGAAATTCGGTCGGTGCTCTCCTGGTTTATGATGTTACAAATCGAGCAAGTTTTGAGAATATTCCTCACTGGATGACCGAAGCTAAACGTCATATTGAACCTCACTCTCCGGTCTTTGCCTTAGTTGGTTGCAAAGTTGATTTAGTCAAATCAGGAGTACCCCGTGAAGTATCTCTTGAAAGTGCTACAGAATTTGCACAGCGCCATGGAATTTTCCATATAGAAACATCAGCCCGAACTGGACATAATGTCGAAGCTGCTTTTACTGCAGTGACACAAGAAGTATACAATAGAATCCTTTCAGGGGAATACAAAGTTGAAGATGGTTGGGATGGGATTAAGGCAGGATTTGTCCGACCCAGTGGTATGGATTTCAATTTGGTTGAAGCTGAACCTGCCAAGTCTACATGTTGTTAAGTATCTTTAGTTTTATTATAATTATAATCGGATCAGACATAAGTTGTACTATTAGTAGAACAAATAGTTATGAGATCAGATGTCTCTTAATTAATGTTTAATAGTCACCAATTGGAGCTAAGTATCTTAGAATGTGTGAATTTTCAGGATTGCATATTTTAAATATGCCTAGATATTGCTCTCAGGAAAATATAGTAATAAAATATATGTTTTGGTATTTACCAGAGCATATTGGATTAAACAGATAATATTATCTAGTTTTGTGTAGATATCCTGGAAATCAAAACGAGTTATGAAAATACTGAGTTAGTTTCTTCTTTCCAATTTTGGTTATTTGATATGATTACTCCTGATCTCCTATCTATTTTTCATTTCAGTAATTGGAAAACGTGAGACACTAATGTATAGATTTATTAATATTAGTTTCTTATTATTTAATTTGTAATCTCAACTAACGTTTTGTTTAATCTGAGTTGCTAATTTACTCAGGAATACAATTAATTGTGATATTGGTAGTTTCAAAATGTTAGAACTGTTTTGTAAGCTGGTTAAATGTATGTGTAATCTTGTGAATTAATGTTCAATCCATGAATACATGGATCAAACCATTGGGTTCAAATCATGAAAAAATTTGCTAGCTGTCAACCAAAAATAAATAATTAACTGGTCTATTTCACCCAATTTAATGTAAGTTTTATTAAGCAAGAACCTCTTGAATTAAATCTAATATTTTTATTTTATTTAATCTAGTTTTTTTTTTTAAAAGGTGCACCAATTTTTTAATTAGTTGTAACTTAATTTAGTTTTATTTTATTAATTTTGCTGAAAGTAACTATTTTTACTAATGTTAATGACAGTTATCTATGTATTATAGGTATGGATCATTAAAATTATTTTATGGTTTTAGATGTATATAAATAAGATGTAAATTAATTGTATATCATGTACATTAAAAAAAAAAATATTAAAAATTGTGATTCATTTTATTACCTGTTCGACTTAAAGATGTGGGTTAAAAAATTATAGGTTAACAATAATAACAAAAATAATTTGATCTGTAGAATTGGACAATGTAATTTCAATGTGGGCATTATATATTTAAACTGATCAAACTTCTGTACAATACTTCCATTAGGACTACATCATAGCATTTATAATATTTACATAGTATGTTGTATGTTTATTAATATACATTAAAAACGGACTATTTATGAAATAAAAGCATTATATGTATGGTATTTGGGACAGCAATAGTCTGATAAGAATGGAAATGTATTTTTTAAGGTATATTTGTGATATTCATTTAGTCATTTGATCCTTAAATCACTATATTTTTATTAATCTATAAAAGTGTTTTATTTCTTTGTGTGGAAGACTGATGTATAGGTGCATGTTATTTCATTTCTGTGTCAAACACCAAAAATTTTCCTTTAGATGGAATAAGAATTAATTGTGCTTGATAAATTAAAATGTAATTTAAAGTCAAATAGAGTGAAGTTACAGCAGCAAACTACAAATTGTAAAATAGCAAATAAATTAGTGCTTTCAAGTACAAGCTTTTTTGTCACTTAACCAAAATCCCTGTAAAAAAGATATATGTTGATTTTTCTTTTTATTGTAGAAAAGATTAGTGTGTCCAATGGAAAAATCATCAAACATTAAATATTATTAATACTAAATAAAAAGTGGTTATTTAGAAAATATTCAACTGACATTAAATACAGAACCAAATAAAATAATAAATTTAATAAAATTGTGTTTGTATGTGTTAATCAGTATAAAAAACCTTACATTTCAAGAATAAACTAGACCTAGTTTAATATTATATTAGCAGTAGCCTTGAGAGACTAACATTTTTACTTTCAGGCTGGTCTTGCGCAAGAGTCTCGCAACAGTTTTGCAGTTACCTATTATTCTATTACTATAGAGAATTACTGTAATCTTTCAGATAGGGGAAACCTAACTAAGCCCAAATGAAAAATCGGATAAGTTAAATGCCAAAGCGTATTAGTTATACCAATTTTTTACATATAATAACTAAAATTTGAAGTATGAATAACTATTTTGCCTTAAATTTTATTAACAAAAATTTTTTTTTTGGTTAACCAGTCTCGGTCTTGGTCTTGCAACAGTCAAGGGGTCTTGGTCTTGCACTTTGCAAGTTTTTTTTTTTAACAATATCATTGTACTGATTCGGTGGATTTTATATACCTTTTTTTCAAAATTAAAAATAATTTTAAATATTTACATTTAGTTAAGAATTATCGTTTCATTTTCTTGGAAACATGTGGTTTCCGTTAAATAATATTAGTTTTTTGAAATTATTATTTATAATTTTTTCTCACTCAACATTACCTTCTATGACTTTGTTAGATATTGTTTTTCTAAAATAAACATTTTTCCAACGATATATTATACTTTTACATTCAGTCTGTTATTTTTGGAAATTCATTTTCAACCTCAAAACACATTTTTCTCTTTTAGCCAATTAAAAAACGCAATCATACTTTATATTCGGCCATTTTTTAATTTTTAATGATGATAAGAGAGTTATTTTTTTTTAATTTGACCAAATTTAAGGTACTTTAGAGGAAGACATATTCAACATTAAGGATTTAAGTCCTGAAAGATGGAATCAATGTGGATAAGACCTACATGATCTTAAATATCACTTAATAATACAGTGATATACGGAGTTTAATCAAAATCGTTAAAGCCCGTTTTGGGAAAATAATAAAAATGTGTAACATCATTCAAATAAACTGCCACTTCCGGTTAGCAGATTTCCAGGAAAAAGTTGCTGTAACATCTCGCGCATATATCTATCTTAAATACGTAATATCAGTTTCTTACGACTTTCGTTTTTGAGCTAGACTGATAACACACACACACACACACAAACAGACCATTTTGCAATACTTGCGATTTTTCTGTAAAAATGGTTATATTTTATTATTTTGAGGGGGGAGGGGTTCAGCGCGAAAGCCCCCCCCCTCCACGTAAATCAGCCTGTGCTTTATTAGGATCTGGAATGGCAAAATTAGTTTAACTGAGAGAAGGAAAAACATCTGTAAGGAATCAGGGATTGGAATGAGATAAAGGGATAGAAAAGTTTTGTTATTAAATAATTTGTTCTCATTGTTAATAGTTATAAAAAATGAATACATTTAAACTATGAAAGAATTTTATTATTAACTATAAGAGAAAAAAGGGAAAAATAGTTTTCCTGATTGAAATACAATTTCTTGAAATAAGAGTAATAATAAAGGTGTACAATACAAACTGGAAAGCTAAAGTTTTATAAAAATTAATAACTTACTAAGCATTAAACAATGGAAAGTGATAAAAATAAATGAAAAAAAAAACTATTGATGTAATTAGATAATAATTTCTATTTGTATTTCATTGGATAGAAAATGAGAGTTTTCATGGAAATCGAATGGGATTTCAATACAAACTAAAGAAAAAATATTAAACATTTATTGGTTTATTTTATTTTTAATAATGGAACCATTGTAATCGACCGATTCAATTAAATAACTAAACCGTCCCTCAAAATTGGAGTACGTCGAAAAGTACGTCCCTTACAAGATGGCGGCCGAAAGACCTGCGTCGTGTACACCATAGCACCTGAAATAATGTACTGATTTCAATGAAACCGGGCTAAAGTCTTCTCTTCGGAAACCCTTAAACTTAATCTATATGCATACTTCAACGAAAATAATCAGGAAAAAGAGTGGTAAAATCTGATTTCAAAAGAACTCATAAAGTTTACACCAGTTTGTGCTTTTTATAATCAGGCGGTTATTTAAAAGTTTACAATGTATCCTATAAAAAAAAATTGATACGCGCAACACACAACTTTCACTTACCGATCTACTTTGAATAGAAATTATTTTCTGACAACACTGGGCTATTATAAATTTTTTTGAATTGCATTTTAAACGGAGCTAAAGCTTAAAGCTTACGGATAACTAGTCATTAAGACCACTATAATTACAAAATGTCTATTTAATATATCGACGACAGGCATTAAAAATGTATTCACTCCATCTGCTTTTATAAACCACAGAATGACTAACACCAATTTCAACATTTTTGAGTGATGTCATTTTAGTGATATTTTTAGTTGAAAAAGTTATCTATGCAGACCATCCAGCATTTAATTTTGGGGGGGGGGGCTTTAGCCCGAAAGATTTTTTTCATATATATAACGATAATTAATTTGAAAAAAAAAAGAAAGAAATGAACTACCTATATGAAATGGTGTGATTCTTGAAGTCCTATTAAATATAATTACACGAACAATAATACTTTAAGAGATAGTTTTTAATATTTTTTTCTATAAAACATGGTTATATTTTACCGTTTGGGGGGGGGAGGCTCTCCCCCCCCGTAAATCCGCCTGCCTGTGATGCAGACAATGAGTAAGTTGATTCCAGAGGTGGTGATTGCAGGGTTGAAATACAGAACTGAGAATAAAGGTATAAATTTAGGTACTACTTTCTTATGAAAGATGTTCTTAGGAAAGACACTTTATTCAATATCTGTAGAAAAAAGGTTTTTTTAGTCTCAACAATTAAAAAAGTATATTTTAAATTTATCCAAATTTTCGCCTCTTCAGGGAAAAAAACTAGAGACCATATCTTTTCTCCTAATTGTCCGATTGTTTTGATTTTTTAGGAAATTCCACGAACTTTTAAAAAACCATATACAATATTGACAAAAAAGTGTATACTTTTTGAGTTAATCGGAAATTAATTTTAACATCCCTCTTAACTTTTTTTCCAGCTTCTTTTCGTTGGAGTGTGTTGTATAGATAAATTTAAAGGGTGTCGAGAAAATGACTTTAGCGAAGTTTCATTGAAATCGGTACATTCGTTTAGGCGCAACAGTCTATAGCAACGCAGGTTTTTCTGCATTTTTGTAACTCTGAATAATGCGAAATGATTAACTTAAATAAACCATATTAAAGATACTTTAGAGGAAAAATATATGAACATTGGGCATTTAAGCCCTGTAAAGTGTCATCAACGGAGATAAGACCTAAATGATATTAAATACCACTTAATTATACAATGATACACCAAGTTTAATCAAAATCGTTAGAGCCGATTTTGAGAAAATTGTAAAAATGTGTTTCAGCGTTCATATAAAGTGGCACTCCGGTTAGCCGATTTTAACGAAAAAGTTACTGTCACCACTAGCGGATTCAGGATTTAATTTTTTGGGGAGGGAGCTTCAGCTCGAAACCTTTTTTTTTCATAAAAATAACGATAATTACTTTGGAAAAACAGAAAGAAACTAACTACCTATATGAAATGGTGTTTAAGTTATTCCTTAAGTACTTTTAAATGTAATTACACGTACAATAATACTTTAAGATCTATTTTTTAAATTTTTTTCTCATAAAATATGGTTATATTTTTCCATTTTGGGGAGGCTTCAGCCCGAAAGCCTCCCCCCCCGTAGATCCGGCCCATATACAAACCTTAAATACTTAATACTACTTTTCGTTTATGAGCTAGACTGATAACACACACACACACAGACCATTTAGCAATACTTGGTTATTTGAACTCAGGGGACCTCAAAACACGTATTTCCGTTGAAAACTGAGATTCGAAAATTTTCAGGAACGCAATACTTACCCTTACTATATATTACATATATACTTAAGTGAAAGTAAAAAAATTGTTAACGGGATATTTCTACAGCAAAGCTTGTATCCTTCATTCTGGTTTTTGAAAGAGTTACATCAATGATGAAAAAAAATAATATTTAGACCAACATTAGGAATTACCTTTTATTTATTTTTCTTTACATTACTTATATCTATTTATTTCATTTTCCATCAAATTTGCCACTACGTTGTAAGGCATCAAGCAAATGTGTTGGCGTTTATTTTATCTTCTTGTATTCTTGATACTTGCTTAACTTTTTAGCAGATCTCTATGATATTACCTTTTTAGTCATCTTTGAGTTTCACCAGGTAACAGGGAGGAAGATAGAGATAGAATGAGTGGATTTGGATGATTGAGAGTACAAGAATGAAATGTTGTGTATGTAGGATTTTACTTTTGGTATGTTCATGTCTGTGTGTATGATGTGATTAAAAATAAACCAAGGAACATTGACGATTTTATGAAGTATTTTGTTTATGTGTGAAAACCTTAGCACTTCATATCATGGACTAAACACATTATTAAAATTTCCTCGAAAACGGTTCTAATGATTTTGATCAAATTCATTATCTCAGGGTAAAATTAAGTAGTTTCAAATAAAATGTAGGTTTTATTCTGATTGATGTTCTCTACCAGGGCTTAAATGGCTAATTTTCAATATAAGCTTCCTCTAATTTATTTTATTTGAAACAATTGACCATTTCACATAAATCTATAATATAAAAAATAGTTAAATATGAAAGATCATAATGGAGAATAGTTGTAATTCAGGAACGAAAAGAACCGGAGTGCACCCAAAAGATAAGAACATGCTTCAATATTTAACATGAGCTTAATATAATAAGGACTGCGACAATATTATGTAAATATACATATGCGGTTATCATAAATGCTATTGTTGGTATTATTTAATATTTAATTGTATAGATTACAGCTATATAAATATTAAAATTTGTATATATAAGGATACTTATACAAATAAAAATACCCCCAATGAAATATAAATAAATATAGTGTCTATAATTTTTACTTTCACTTTCCCTTTGTCTGAAAATAATTATTTCTGTTAAGAAGAGGGTGGTAAGTGAAAGTTGTGTGACGCACGCACCGCACCACATTTTTTTGTTAAAAGGTGTTGAACCAACAGGTCATCAATGCCTTATATTTTTATATTAAACAGGCTTCTAAAATTGATAAAGTAATACTTTCATTCAATAAAATAATTTTTATTAATATTCAGTTAATGTAAAACTTATGATTTAAAAAAGGAACCTAGTTAACATTAGAGTGTTTGTGTATTTTCATTTAAATAAAAAGAAGAGAAAAGTGATACTTTTCTTTGGTTATTCAATTAACTTTTATTATCAGCTGCATGGTATCAATTCAAATAGGGTTCAAGATAAGATTTATCATTGACTGATATTGCACACTCGTCGACAATAATTTATCTGATGCCTGATATTGATATCTTTATACCAAAAGAAAGCTAATTACTTATTCATGAATAGCTACACTCTATAATATATGAACATTAATAAATATAAATATCATTCCTATACTATTATATAATGTATTAGCAACACATTTAATTAATAATAAAATAATATTGCTTAATAGTTTTGGAAACATTAATGTCTAAAATAAAAATTAATGGAATAAATTTCAACTACAAAAACAACACATAGAATTAAATAAGAACTTTGATTATGTAGGATCTATTTATCTTTCACTTATTCAGCAAGACCTTGGGATAAGTTGTATTATGTTTCTTTTATCTTCAACTATTTCATATTAAAACGAAAAAACATTAATTTTATACAAAGTAAACAGGTTAAACAAGTTAATGTTCAAGGTTCGACTGAGCTGCTCATTAATCTGCGGCATCTGGCAAGACGACTTATTTAACAGCTTATAATTAGTATTGACTTGCATAAGAGGGAAGAACTGCCCTTTAATGTTATACATCCATAAATAAATTAAAATTATTAAATAGAGGAAAACTTAATAGAAATAATTTGGAGAAAGGAGTTAAATCTTCGAGAAATGCCTTAACATTTAGCATATAAATCATTTCATGAGAATAAAATATCCATCTAGTTACTTCTACTAATATTTTAACATAAATATCTGAGTTAAAAAAGATAAAGGAAACAATTATAGGTATAAATGTATTTATATTTTGTAATAAACCATGCATCCATATTGAGTAAATACTGTAATAATTAAAATTTCTAATAACTGAAAATTATGACACAACATAAAGAAGGGTGAAAAAAGAAGTTTCAACTATCAATCGATTTCTTAAATGATATGGTAAAAATATATCAGCAGATCATGTCTTAAACATTTATTTAAAACAAAAAGAATCTTTATAAAAAGGTGAATGAAATAAATATACAACAAATTAATCTTCCAGAAAAAAATACTGGCCAGCTCTTTTCTGCTCAACATCCTGAAAAACAAACCAAAAATAAAATGAAAATTTCACATCAATAATTAAATACAAATAGTTAATAAAATTTTCTGAAGAGCTATTGTATCTTTTTGTTAACAATAGCGATGCAATACTAAATGAATAAAACACTTTTATTTGCATTTAAATTGCTTTGATGACAGGGCGAAGTAAAAACACCTTGGTCAATATTATTCAATGGTACAAGTAGAAAGATAAACAATTTGAATTCAAATAATAGATTTAAAAGGTTCTACCGTCCATCCAAGAGTATTCAATGAACAAGAAAGGCTTCTTGTAGGAAAAATTAATAAAAAGAAAGCCCTCGTTAAGTGGTCTTTAGATTGCCTTTGAGATAACAATAGAAATGAAAAAGGAAATTCGTCCACAAAATATAAGAATTCTTAAAGCAGCACAATACATTGGAGCATCCAAGTATTTAGTAAAAACCTTTATGCCAACGGGATGTCAGACTCAGATGCTCTTAATTTTAACCAAATTTAAGAAGGTGATTTTATAACCACTAACATTCTACATCATAACAAACTAAATCTGTATCTGCAAGAAATAGACAAGATTTTTTTTCTCTTTAATATACCTATATAATGAATATTTATAAATGATTGATGATATATTTTTCATGCTTTCTGAATTTTTTTTTTTCGGTTGGCGCTATAGACCTTGTAGATCTCTGACCGCGAGATGTGGTCTTCTAGACCACATCCCGATTCCTGATTTAAGTAAATGGGGGTAGGGTCGTCAGTCCTATGCCTGGTAGGTGTGAGTTGGCTCCAGTAGAATGACAGGCCTCACAAACTCGGGGGAGGGCCTCTGGCTGCGTGGCTTCCATCACTGGTGGATGGTCACCCATCCAAGTGCTAACCACGCTCGGCATTGCTTAACATGGTTACCAATTGGAAGTGCCTTAGCCCGCACGGCTACCCCAGTACCTTATGCTTTCTGCATGCTGGATTAATAGTTTTCAATTCCGCTCTTATTCCTAGTTTTTAAATTCCACCGTAATTATTACTCTCTTAAATTATTTGCAGAAAATCATATGAGTTAAATTATATTGCTATTAGTAAAATATTAAAACAAAAACATACAGTGACAGTTGATGAGGGTCGAGAGTTGGGCTTCAGGGAATCTGAATTTTGCAATAATCTGAACTAAAATTTTGCAATATCTAGTTGTAGGATTAAGTACAACTTTCCTAAAATGCTATTCAATTTTAAAAGGTTTTACTGCCCGACAAAGTGATTGGAAAAGTAAAAAAGAGATGGAATGCTAGAGCAGTCTGTCTTCATGTGAGCCCACCCTGCCCAGCAACTGCGACCACTATTGTTTGTGATCTAGAGACCACTATATCTTTGAAAGGTTTATAGACTCTAAAGTTGTAATTTAAGGTGATTTCTTTAATCCAAGTTTACTACAATTGACTCCGGAAAACTAAAATACCACTGGAAAAGTATTCTGTGTTATCAAAGGTTCAAGCTAAAATTACTAATAAAAGTTTTCAATTCATGCTTTTGGTTAGTATAAAAATAACAAATAATTGCAAAGGTGTAGGAGGAACATTTTTTTTTTTTTAAATTACAATCTACATCCCTGAAACAATTTTCAAATACATCACAATATCAATATTAATATCACTTCACCTTGACAGAATTAGCTTTGTTTATCCTTGGCCTGTAGTTATTGGGATCTCTACGGAATGTAATCTCAAGTACTTCCAAGAACCTGTTCATCCCAGCAAGAAGGCTCTGTGGGGCATTAGCTGTTGTTTCAACCGAAGGCATTCCTTCAAAAACAATGACTCTATCTGAGAGGTAAGTAGCCATAATAAAATCGTGCTCGACAACGAATCCAGTCTTCTTAGCATGTAGAATAAACCTAGAAAAAAATAAAATAACATAGGAATATTAAATTATTAATTGTAGTAACAGTACAGCATGATAAAGATCAAGCATGTTACTTGATGTCCCACTAAAAATGAATAACTTGAGCAATTAAACTTAAATATTGGTTCAACCGTTTGCTCAAATAACTGTTTTATACATATAAGCAGTCAACTTAACACATAATCCTCCTTGTGTCTTTGCCATGGTCAGGTAAAAGAAGTATTTTTTCTTAATAATTTCAAAAAACTACTTTTTTTCTGTTCTATTTAATACAGATAATAAGCATTTAAAAAGGCATATACGTCGAAATAATTAGAAAAATCTGACTTGTACTTTACTTTTGTTTAAATAATTATTCAATAGCTTTTCCAATTTTTTGTTCATTTACTTTTTTTAATTAATAGTTCTGGTACCAGATTATTAAGAGGTAAAAGAATTTCTTCTAAAGCAGTAAAATCAGATGTACTGTAACTGGTTTTAGAAGTAATTGTTTCATCCAGAGATGGGCTAAATCGCAATCAATGATTACAACTGAAAATGAAACTTAATGACCACGTTGATTTTATACTTGATACAATACCACTATAAATATAGCAAAAGTAAGAAACGATTACCTGATTACAATCATAATCATAATCCTGATTACGATTACAATCTAATCAAAATCGTAATCACGTAGTCAAATTTACTGTAATTGTAATCACATAATCAAATTTACTGTAATCGTAATCATGTAATGAAAAAATAAACTACACACATTTTTCCTCTATATAGATATAAGCTAAAAGGAAAACAATTATAAAACATTTTCTATTTTCTTTTAGTTGGTGGGAACACTTTATATGAAAATGCTCTGATTTAAGATAGCACGATTACATATAAAGTTTTTTCATTCGCTTTTCCTTTTTAATCTCGTGAATGAAGGACCAGTTGTTCACCGTTCCAACAGTTTTCCGGCTATGTAGAGGTAGGTGAAAATGAGTAATGGTGTAGAAAATTTTCTGAATTTTCATACGCTTTCCTTTTTTTATTTCATGAATAAATGCCTGGTTTGTCACAGTTCTAACCATTTTACAGCAAATTAGAGGCAGACTAATGGAAACAGGTGTGGTACAAATTTTCATTTGCTTTTCCTCATTTATCTAGTGAATGAAGGATCAGGTTATTACCATTCCAACAGTTTTCCAGCTATGTAGATGTAGGAAAAAATGGGAAAATGAAGTGGAAAATTTTTCAAATTTTGATTATCCTCTCTATCTCGGGAATGAAGCATCAGCTTTTCACAGTTCCAACACTTTTCCAGCTATGCAGAGGAGAGTGAAAATAGGGGAATATTGTAGCAAATTTTCATACGCTTTTCCTCCTTAACTCGTGAATGGATGTTCGGTATTTCACCGTTCCAACAATTTAATAACTAGGTCGGAAATTTAGAAATAGGCCAGTGGAAACAAGAGGGGTAAAAATTTTCTGAATTTGTATTCACTTTTCCACTTTTATTAAGGGAATGAAGAATCAATTTTTTACAGTTCCAACAGTTTTTCAGCTATGTAGAGCATGCGAAGAAACTGGAGAAACAGTGTAGATGATTTCTCGAATTTTTTTTAGCTTTTCCTATTCTATCTCGGGAATGAAGGGTCAGTTTTCACTGTTCCAACAATTTTATAACTATTTAGAGGCAGGCCAACATAATCAGGAGTGGTACAAATTTTCATTCACTTTTTCTTTTTATCTCGGAGATGAAGGATCAGTTTTCCACTTTTCCAAAAATTTTCCAGCTATTGAGAAATCGGCAAAAAATTTTCTAAACCAATTCTCCATTTTCGTCTACATCTACATAGTTGGAACAGTGAAAAATCGAATATTTGGTTCATGAGATAAAAGCGAATGAAAATTAGGAAAATTTGTACCACTCTTGTTTTCACTACCCTATTTTTAAAGTTGTAAAATTGTTGGAATGGTGAAAAACGGAGCATCCATTCACGAGCTAAAGATGAAAAGTGTATGAAAATATCTACACCATTTCCTCATTTTCACTTATCTCTGCATAGCCGGAAAAGTGTTGGATGGAGAAAAACTGATCTTCCATTATCGAGATAAAAGAGAAAAAGATAATGCAAATTTGAAAAATTTTCTACAGAATTTCTCCATTTTCGCTTACACCTATATGGTCGGAAAACAGTTGGTACGGTGACAAACTGATCTTCCATTATCGAGATAAAAGAGAAAAACTGAATGAAAATTTGTACCAATCCTGTTTCCATTGGCCTATCTCTAAACAGTTATAAAATTCTTGGAACGGTGAAAAACCGAACAACCATTGATGAGTTAGAGAGGAAAAGCGAATGGAAATTCGAAAAATTTTCTACATCAATTCTCCATTTTCGCCTACATATAAATATTACGGTTACGGTTACAGTTAGTAAGAGTAAAAATTACAAATTTCATTTGTCTATTTCATGTATCATCCATTACAATTTTTCATTTTTAACTATTATCTGTCTTATAATATTATATCTCTGATTGTACTAAACAGTTTTTCAGCCCTGATGATGACTCCCATATTAGGATTGAAATGTTGGCACTAATAAAAACCTCAAAAATTACTGTCCTATCTATTTATTACAGTACTTGCCTAGTAGCCAGTCGGGACGAAACCTCCCTTGTTATCTAATGTTACATCACATTACATCCCTTCTTATCTCCTGTCAGCTGTGAGTTATTCCATAGTTTATTTTTGTTCCATTTGTGTGATTTTCTTCAAATTATGGATGCTACTGAATTGTGGGAATTGTCATCTTAAGAAGAAGAGGCTATAGAATATTTTCTTCATTTCCAACAGGGCGTGATAGAGCTCCGGCCGAGTTACACTACTGTAGGCGGCTTTAAAATCAATGAAGAGGTGATGGGTAACTGTTCTATACTATTTGCATTTCTCCAATATTAGCCTCAGTGAGTTGGTCTAATGTGGATCTCCCTCGCCTAAATCCCGCTTCATATTTGCCTATCTCCCCCTCGGCATGAGGAACTAGTCTCTCACATAGTATGTTAGATAGTACTTTATAGGCACATGAGAGGAGCACTATGCCTCGATAATTGTTGCAATCCGATTGGTCCCCTTTCTTGTGCAGTGGGTAGATAATTCTCCTTTTCCACTCCTCATGCATTTTCTCTTCCTCCCATGTCTTCAAAATGAGGTTATGGAGCTCCTTTCTTAGTTGCATTCCTCCATAGCGTATTAGCTCCGCTAGAATTCCATCCAGTCCTGGAGTCTTATTGTTTTTCAGCTTCGCTGTGGGCCTATTCTATATCTTCATCATCCGGTGGCTTGGCATCGTTAGAAAAGTTGTCCTCTTCTCTGGCAATTTCTTCTTCAAAGTTATCTCTTTGAAGTGCACCGCTGAAATGCCTTGCTTATCTCTTCAGAATTTCCGCTCTCTCCGTCAACAGGTTCTCGTCCTCATTCTTGCACATAGTTACTTTTGGTTTGAAGGCATTACGGCCCTCATTCACTTTCTGAAAGATGAGGAGAGTGTCGCGAGATGTCCTGCAGTTTTCTACATCCTTCATCTTGCAGTTCTCCCATGCTCTTTTCCTCTCTTCTTTCCTTTCAGTATGTCTCCTGTGTTTGATGTGTATGGGGCTGGATAGCCTTCTTATACTATTTCATACATATATGTTGTAAAATAAAAGTATATTTTTATTATTACATTTGTTTTTTTGTTTACAATTTCAATAATATGAATATAACACAATAAATATGAATACGTAGATAGGGATTATCAGTGCCTTATCAGAATTATCAGGTTATAATCATCGGCATATAGTAGTGGATCCCGACCGGATACTAGACAAGTACCTTTATCACTTATTGTACTAAAATATCAATTAAAAAAAATTAATAAATAAAAATTTATAAAATGGACAGTTCAACACCTCAATTAACTGACTGATTTTGAAAGGTCAGAATCATAGCAGAATTTAGATATTGGCAGTAGATGCACATATTAGTAATACAATTAAATGTGAAAATTAGTCATAATCATACATAAAAAATTAACCTTTTAATAACTTTAGCAGCAACTAAACGCTGCTCAGAATCCAGGTAGGCAGAAGGCTCGTCAATAAGATATACATCGGCAGGCTTGCCCAGGCAGAGTGTTAAAGCCACTCTTTGCAATTCACCTCCTGATAGATTCTGTACTTCCTGATCCATGATATCATCAATCTTTAGGGGCTTCATTACATCAGTCACAAACTGTAACAAAAAATGTAACCACAATGATTAAAACATAATAATAAATAGTTTTTCAGTTACTGAGGAGTAGATAAATATTCTAATTTTACGAAAAAATATTAACTAACCAATTATGGCATCATAAAAATATTTTAATATGTTTAACTAGGCTCTAATATAATTATATAGGCGTAACAACAAGGGTTGTCTTTCATGTCCAGGCGGTTACAAATCTAAAATTTGGTTAGGCCATTGCTCGTTAGACATTCATCTTACATAGGCCATACCACATTAGCCTTCACCATCTAATTCTCTTGTTGACAGATACAAGGAGCCTCCATCCTGTCCCTAACGACTTCGTTCCTAATTCTATCCATCCTTGTCATGCGTAAGCATCTCCTCCAAAAGTCCATTTCAATAGCTTGTACCTTTGAATAGAGCTGGTCCAGGTTTCAGCTGCATACATCTAGATGGGTTCTATATTGGCGTGGTATATCCTTTGCTTGTTTTCTTTGAGAACTCCTTTGTTGCAAAGGGCAGGATGAAGCATGTGTGTGGCTTTCCGAGCTTGCTCACTCCACTTTTCTTCGCAAAACCATTTCTGAGGATCCTAAGAATTAAGGTAAGATCCCAGTTACTTATTAAATATATGCCCTTAGTACATTAGAAAGGCTGTGCCAGCCGAGCTCCAAGCTTCATCCAGTAAATGTCATCTCGGAAGAGGTGTTTCACTGCATCTATTAAGGCTTTGTCGATGCCAGCCTCTCTCAGTGCTCTCAAGTTTAGTTTAGTTCTTGGGACACTGTCATAAGCCTGAAGCCTGCTCAAGGTCCACGAAAGCTACTGGTTCATTTCCTAGGATTTCTCGATGAGTTGTTAGAGGACACTACTCGGATTGTTTTGAGCATACTGAGTTTTCTATCGACGAGCAGCTAATCTAAACGATAACTCACAATCTGGGGGACCATGGTCTCTTGACGAGTTGCTGACCAAAGCTAATTAGTCAAGTACAACCGGATGTAGGAATTAAATTTAAAAAATACATACATTTTCAGATTTAAATAGTTTTTGTTCTGTATGTCATTAATTAGAATTATTTCTCAAAATGGATTGTGAACCAACAAAAGTTAGATTTTTTGTTAGTTATATCCATGAAACATATTTTAGCCCTAATGGAGCATGAGTAACCCTAAGAACATTGCTAGCGAAAATATTTTTGGATCTACATTTGGAACACATGAAGTACAAAAAACATTATCTCTAGAAGAACCAAATTATCTTCAAAATTGCTGAAAAACTACCTGAGGGTGAATATAAGCATCCCTTATCTTTTCATGTAATAGCTGCCTGACGAGTCCGGTTGATTTAGGACTGATTTTCTGGGGTTTGTAACTGATATTCAGCTGAGGCAAATCACCTAAAATAAAGACAAAATTAAGCAAAAAAAATAATCAGGGGTATACTTCAAATTATTTTCCCAAAAGGACATTTACCAGAACCATCATCAGGTGCTAGATTTCCTGCTAGCATTCTGATAAAGGTAGTCTTTCCAGTTCCATTTTCACCAAGAAGTACAACAATTTCTGAATCGGTAAATTGACCAGCCTGAACTTTAAGCTTGAAAGGTCCCATTGTCTTGCACATCTTAGGGTACTCATAATGCTGCATTCTCTTCACCTCTTCTTCAGTAGCACTTTCAGCTACTTTGAATACTAAAGACTCATCTCGAAAACGCAGGTTTTCGGTAGGTACAAATCCATCCAAAAATATGTTGATACCTATGAGAAGAATGAAATAAGCACAACTGATGATAGGTAAATATTAATAAAAGATGAAATACAATTGTACGCATGCTTAATAATTACCTTCTCTTACAGAGAACGGCATAGTAACAACTCCATAGACTCCAGGTACTCCATATAAGCAACATATAAAGTCTGATAAGTAGTCTAATACTGAGAGATCATGCTCGACCACGATAATAAACCTATTATGTAATTAAACATAACAATGCTTTTTAAATAGATACACATACAGTTAAGTAAGTAAAATCAAGAATCAAGATGAGTCAAGTATAATTTTAGAAATATGAATGTAATACTACAACTAGCCAACCAAAAGTCAATGATCTTAAAATAGATGTAGTACAAAAATTATAAACTAACTGTATTCATTTAGGAAAGAACATACTTGTCGGGCCTGATAAGGGATCTGATAGTGTAAGCAGCTTTAAGACGCTGCTTAACATCTAAATAACTGGAAGGTTCATCAAACATGAAAATGTCTCCATCTTGAATGCAAACCATGGCACAGGCAAACCTTTGTAATTCTCCTCCAGAAAGGTTCTCTATGGACCTGTCTCTAATCTTATCTAAATCTAAAAACAATAGGAAGAAAATAATTTCTAGTGTTATTCCTTAAGTACCAGATACAAGTTTCAGTTAATTGTTATGGTGCTTTCGAAAGACTAAGAAACATGATTAAAAAATTTTGAGAGCATTCTAAAAGAATCTAAAATTTAACTTTTAAATATGATTAGTATAAGGTAACATTAGCTAAGAAACATTTTTTAAAAGTGAAAACCCACAACTTACCTAGCAAAACACAAATTTCATCTTGATTTTTCCTCTCATCTTTCCTATCCAACAGAGCTTGAACAGTACCCTTAACAGCTTTTGGAATCTGATCAACATACTGTGGTTTAATTAAAGCTTTAAGATCATCTTCTAAAATTTTGGTGAAATAGTTTTGCAATTCTGACCCTCTGAAATGGTTTAAGATTTCAGCCCAATCAGGAGGATTCTAAATTTAAAAAAAAAAAATGTAAATGCTTATAACGGTATATAATAAGTTTCAACCCAATTAGCAAATTATGGTTTTCATGACCTACCGAATAACGTCCTAAGTTTGGCTTCTGCTTGCCAGCAAGAATCTTCAGAGCAGTAGATTTTCCAATACCATTAGTTCCAACCAATCCTAAAACTTCACCAGGTCTAGGAATTGGTAGCCTATGTAGCTTGAAGGAGTTCTGAGAGTATCGATGAGTAGTATCCCTTTCAAGATTGCTGGGCAAATTAATAATTGTGATGGCTTCGAAGGGGCATTTCTACAACCAGGTGTGATGTAAATAAACAAATAACAGTTATTAAAGCACTGATTTAACACTTTAACAAACACTACCTTCACACAAATACCACAACCAATACATAGTTCCTCTGAAATAGCAGCGATTTTGTCATTTGGAGTGACTTCAATACATAATTTTCCCATTCGGACAACTGGACATGATTTTTTGCATTCTTGTCTACACCTTTTAGGTTTACACTTATCAGAATTGACAATTGCAATTCTCGTTAGTTTGTCAGCCTCTTCGGTACCTTTTCCTCGTGGCATTTCTGAAATATACAAATGAAACAATAAAGATTTGAAAAGGCATTGTAGGTGTCAAACGTTCAATAGAAAAAGGTTACAGAATCCCCTTTGACAAAAAATAAAGGAACAAGTAAACTGTTATCTAAATTTTGCCCCAAGACTTCGAAAAAATAACTAAAATGGTAATACAACAAAGCATATGCTAGAAGAGGTTAGGCTAGGCATACACCCGACGATCAGGAAATAAATGTGGTTTTAAATGGAAATAAAAATTCAGCCGTAATAGCATATTAATCTTATTTACCTTTGTTTGTCTGGTATCAGGTACACAAATTTTGAAGTAAGGTAACAATTTTTTGAACCTTACAACCTGACACAGTAGGGAAGGGTACAAGGTGTTCCACGAGTTTCTTTGCCATAGTGATTATTAGTTGAAAATAATTTGGACTTTCTTTAAAATAAACTCATTTTCATTAAAAATAATTTAAAATATATTCATAATATATTTCAAAATATCAAAAAACGAAAGATTTAATATTTTTATTGCTAATAAATAAGAAATAAAATAATTATCAAGTTAGCCAACCTACTTCATGGAAGATTCCATCGTATTCCACCCTCATTGCAAATTATTATGAGAGTATTTTTACTTTCACTTACCTATATAAGTAATATGTAGTAACGTTAAGTATTACTGAAAATTTTTGAATCTGAGTTTTTAATCGAAATACTAATTTTGAGGTCTTCTGAGTCTAAAAAACCAAATCCTGAAAAATGGTCTGTGTGTATGTGAACAGGTAGCTTAAAAATGAAAAGTCGTACGAAACTGATATTGCGTAATTAAGATTTGTATAGAAATGCCTGGAAGGGGTTCCCAGAAGAAGGTTTCATGTTTCAAGCTAAGCCATCAAAATGTTTGAGGGAGGCATATTTTGACTGTTTTTTGAATTTTTGAGGGAGACAAATTTCGACAGGGTTATAAATTTTCGGTCTAAGGGACAAGGGGGAAACAGAAAAGAGAAAAGACCGCAGCAAGTGTAACTGTATATGATCTACGATTTTTTTAAACTCTACCTTAGCTTGTTCTGTTTTTAAGAAAAGATGAGCAATAAAATGTTTTAGGAGGAGTGGAGCAGGTATGTTCTTGCGCCATCGACTTTGGGGAGGATGGGCACCCCTGATTTCTAGGATCTACAGTGGCTTAATAATACAGTGTGGCCATACCGACGCGGCGGCCATATAGAGTCGGCGGAGGGAAACTAATATTTGAATACTCTTTCTTTGTTATTTCAATTTAAAAAGGAATTATTGCAACAAACTATTAACTAGAATGGTTTGGAAGATACAATTGAAGTTGGGCAAGTTGAATGAAGCCTATGAATGACTTATATCACACAAAAATAAATAATAAAATTAAAGAACAATATTTTGTTTTCTTTTATTTAACTTTTTAAAAAATATATTTCAATAAACTTCGGCATATTGCGATTTCCATTTTATTCATCTAATTCTCTCATAGGCAAATTTCACAAACAAATTTATATAATTATTAAAACATTAAACCAAAACTGAGCGAAAATTAACTTTCATTGGAAAACTAAAAACTCAATTCTAAGTCAGCAACCATGAAATTATTTTTATTTTTCTTCTAAATATTCTCCTTTGAAAAAAGCAATACTTTTAATAAATGTAAATTAAATAAATGTAATTATTTAATGTAAATTTAATAAATATATATATTTTTTTACTTTGTTACTTGTGACTAAACACCCCTACCAGTGTTGCTCAAATGCGAGACCAAGAGGAGTCTTGGTCTTGCGCACTAGCGGATCCAGAATTTAATTTTGGGGGGGCTGCAGCCCGAAAAAATTTTTTTCATATACATATAACGATAATAATTTGAAAAAAAGAGAAATTAATTAATTACCTATATGAAATGGTTAGTGTTGCCCAAATGCGAGACCCAGACGAGTCTTGGTCTTGCAAACTCAGTTTGGTCATGGTCTTGGTCTTGCACAGGAGTCTCGCAACAGTCTTACAGTACTGTATTTTGTAGATAGGAGAAACCTAACTAAGCCTGAATGAAAAATTAGAAGAATTAAATGCAAAACTATATTGGTTATACCAATTATTTACATATAGTAACTAAGATTTTCGAGTATTAGTAACTATTTTGCCTTAATTTTTTATTAAAAACATCGATTTTTTTTACCAGTCCTGGTCTTGGTCTTGCAACAGTTAGGCGGCCTTGGTCTTGGTCTTGCAAAGTGCCAAAGACCAAGACCGATTTTGGGCAACACTAGAAATGGTGTTTAAGTGGTTCTTGAAGTCCTATTAAATATAATTACACGAACAAGAATACTTTATGAGATAGTTTTTAATATTTTTTTCTGTAAAACATGGTAATATTTTACCATTTTGGGGGGGGCTCAGCCCGAAAGCCCCCCTTAGATCCGCCTTTGGTCTTGCGCAAGTCTCACAACAGTCTTGCAGTTACTTATTAGCTTATTATTATAGAGATATTACTCTAATTTGTCAGATCAGAAAACCTAACTAAGCCCGAATGAAAAATATAGTAACTAAAATTGTCAAGTTTTAGTGACTATTTTGCCTTAATTTTAATTCACAAAAAGGATTTTTTTTTACCAGTGTTGGTCTTGGTCTTGCAACAGTTAGGCGTTCTTATTCTTGGATTAAAAATTGAAAATTTGATCCCCGATCAATAGAATCATTGCTGATCATTGATAAAAAAATATTTTTTATGAAATCGTTTACCTCTTACCATAATGTAGATATAGTATATTGCATCTGAAGTAGAAAAAATTGTTCATTTTACTTTTAAACCTGTCAAAGGTGGTTGGAAAGTATTTGTTTCTGAGTGGTATAACTTAGTTTTTTTATAGTTTGAAAATTTCTATTTACCAGTCATTATCAATATACCTGTTATCAATGAAGTGGTTCAATAATCGTAATATGATAAATTGTAATAATGTTTGTCATACCTGAATTTCTATTAGTCCAGCATCTAAGCTTTCCCTTGTTTTATTTATTTATCATTACCTTTTTGGGAAATTCGAGATTGTTGGCTATTATATATTTTCAATTTTATCACACAGGATATACCAAGTAAAAAAAACTAATAGTGAAATTTAAAACTGTAAGGATAAAATACAATCAATTATCAATTGATTGAAGAACTATCCCATTTAACTTGAAAAAACAACAACATTGTTAATCAACAAAGGAATATAAAAAAAAGAAGATAAAACAGACAATATTTATTTATTTACAAAGGAAATTAAATTTATAAATGCTACACGTATACATAGTTATTGTTACTTTCAATATTAAAAATATGAGTGTAGTAAATGATCCTTAAATCATAGTTGAATTGAGTATAGTTGATGATCCTTGAATAGTTGAACCATCTTGAATAAACATTAACAGTTTTAGAATTTCAATAATAAGAAAAACTAAAGAAAATAATATTTCATTTCAGAACTTTTGTAGAACAGCAATCTATTTCTTAAAAATCAATCATAATGATGAGTTTCATATCACTTATTCTGGCATAAAAAAAAAAAAAAAAATACTTTTAGTTACACGAGATCTCAATAAAGCTAAGCTCAATAAAGGCTGTTCGCCCAGTGGTCAAAATTCGACCAATGCCATTAAAAATTTGAGGAAAACATAATTAAATTAAAAATAAATTCAATAAATAATGAATAAATCACGATTCAAAAATCCTCATTTATTAATATGAAAAAAAAACTCAATTTCAATTAAAAAATCAAGCTTAAACTACCTACAATTATTTATAAGTAATATAAAATAGACTCATTTAAAATATTTAATTTATGTGTTATTATCACAATAAATTAATGTTATGATTAAGCAGGTAAAAAATAAATTTAAACTAGCAATTTCAACTGAGTTTAAATTCATTTTTATGCAGAACTTCTCTGAAAAAAATGTTCTTTTTTTATGTTCTGTTATTGTTTAATACATAGCCTTGACCATTGCCATTGGAAATATAATTTTCCAAATTTTAATTTTAATTTTAACGTGCTCTACTTGCTGCTACATATAATTGTCCATGTGAAATTACTGGACGTCGCAATAATACACAAATTTTTCCAAAAGTTTGACCCTGCGATTTGATTATGGTCACAACAAATGCAGTTATTAATAAGAACGCTATTCTTTGAAATTCGAATAGAAGTATTGTGTCAGAAAATATTAAATTAATTCTTGGAATTAAAATTCTTTTATTTATAATAGCTCCCGTCAGTACTTCACTCTCATTTGTGTTCCATTAACTACTTCTTGTGCAGTATTAAAGTTAAGAATGTGTATAACTATAGTGTTTATTTTTAAATTTAATTCATGAGGTAACATTCCATAATATAATCTCTTCAAATAATAGTCCCGATCACTTCATTAAAATTAAAGTTTTCGATTTATCAAAAACCGAAATCGAGGAAATCGACTTTGCAAAATAAAGTACTAAACGTTTGAAATGATATATCTCTGCAACAAATAGTCCAATTTTGATAGTTTTTTAAAATCATTTTATAGGAAATCAAGAAAGCTTTCAAATAAATACTGGTGAGATAAATAAAAAAAATGTGTACTTTTTGAGTTATTCGCAAATAAAATATTGAATTAATCATAATAGCTGTTTTGAAGAAACTACCATTTATATATTTATTTACAAACTATTTCATATTTTTATTTATTGATAACACTAAAGCTCGTCGATAGCTATTAAACAAAAAAAGAAGGAAGAAAATCGGTTGAATACTAGAGGAGTAAAAGGGCCTGAACCGTTTTGTGTTTGCATATTTATATAATGGTAATAACACAGTAAAAATAATTGTAAAAAAAATCTAAATTTCAATCATAAAAATATAACTTTGCATACGTCAGCAATATGATGTAAGAGTTACGAAGCTGGTCAATCATCGTACCTGGTATCATACGTCATAACCTCGTACAAATACGAGGATCCTCGTACAAATACGAGGATCCTCCTACAAACGACAACTCTGCCTGGGGATGTTACAGCAACTTTTTCGTCAAAATTGGCAAACCGGAAGTGGTACTTGTTTCGATGTCTAGGCGCAAAACATCCAGGTCATAAACGTCCGATCAAATAAATAACATCACTTAATACTATTTGGATGGTCGGTACAAAAAAAAAAAAATAAAAAATAATAAATAAATAAAAAATAATAATAAGAGAAAATAGAATAAAAATAAATAGATAAAAAAATTAATAAATAAAAAGATCTGCAAAAGATCATTAATTATAAGCCTGTCATATGTGTTTTTTAAGTCTTTCATCATCCAGGAACTTGACTTTGGTAACGATCTCTTCTTGATTTCCCAGGGATGCTGATATATTCTGGGGTATTCCGAGATCTTTTAATCTTGCGATGTAAAAAGGGCATTCTTCCAAAATATGTTTTATAGTTAGTGATTGGTTACACTTTTGACATCTGGGGATAGAATCTTTTGTTATGAGGTGGAGGTGAGTCAGTCAGTCTAGTATGTCCGATCCTCAGCCGCGTGAGGACGACCTCTTCTCAACTGCTGCGTCTGGAGCTGGTACTTAGATCATCGATCTAACACATTTTTACGATTTTCTAAAAAACGGCTCTAACGATTTTGATTAAACTCACTAGGTCAGTGAATTATTAAGTGGTTTTTAATTTAAGGTAGGTTTTATTCTCATCGATGCAACCTGACAGGGCTTAAATGCCGATTTTTTCAAAATGTCTCCCTCTAAAGTACCTTTATGTTTTTTTTAATTTCAAGTAATTAACCATTTTACATTTGAAACTGCGATAAAAAATGGATAAACATAGTGAATAAAGAAAATTGATTTGTAATTAAAGGAGAAATAAGAGTAGAATACCCGGTACCATTCTGTACAGGGCTTTCATATTGTTAGTTTAACTTTTATGTATCATAATTTTTTTCAAAACGATATTATGAGAAATGTTGACAATTTACATAATATACATTTACTAATATAAATATAATAATATGCAATATTTACTAACGTTAAGTTTATTTTTGAGACGAGTTTCGTAATAAGCGTTTCCGATAAAACATAGAATTTTATCAGAAGATCCGTTTCCCCCACAATCATTAGTATTGTTTGATACTATACACAAGGAAAATGAAATGTAGAAGGAAATGAAAGAAAAGGAAAAAGCAATGACAAGTGATACAAATGTATAAATTTAACTGATTCTATGGATGGGGAAAATATGGTAATAAATTGTTTTAAATGAAGTTATACAGTCGTTTTTCTTCGACTTCCTATAAGAAAATACCTAACTACTATAAGGTTGGTAAGTGAAAGTTGTGTGATGCGCACACTGCATCCAAGTTTTTATTTCAATGTGCAAATTGTGTGAAAAATATTAGTTATATGTTTAATAAAATTTATAAAGATATACATAAATTTGTACGCTTTTGCCAAAAAGTAACACGTATTTTTCTGTATAATTTTAGGTTTATCTAGGTTATCACCAGGACCGGAACCAGGAAAGAGTTTCAGCTTTCGGGCTGAAGCTCCCCCCCTCCCAAAATGGAAAAATGTAACCATGTTTTATGGGAAAAATTTTTTAAAAATACCTCTTAAAGTATTATTGTTCGTGTAATTACATTTAAAAGTACTTAGGGAATAACTTAAGCACCATTTCATATAGGTAGTTAGTTTCTTTCTGTTTTTTCAAAGTAATTATCGTTATTTTTATGAAAAAAAAGGTTTCGGGCTGAAGCCCCCCCCCAAAATTAAATCTTGGATCCGCTAGTGCATTAGAGGGGAGTAGAGAAAACAATGTTCTCAATTAAGTTTTTCTTTTTTAGCTTTTAACCTACCTCTTAAATATTCAGAAAATAGTTTGAAATAAGAAGTTTCATTTCACTAGATTTTATTTAGGTAGAATTATAATAATCGCCGAATTGCGTGAGCTATATCCGGGTAATATAATTGAGGTAATTTCATCGCGTCGAATCAAATGGGCTTGTAAAGTTGCTGGGCTTAGTAACGAGAGAATTCCTAAAAGGTTAATATTTGCTGTGCCAAATGGTAAGCGTCCAAGGGGTAGACCGAAGCGAAGGTGGGAAGATTGCATTAAAGCGATCTGAAGGGACTGGGTTTGGGCGGCGAACGGTGGAGAGAGTTGTGTAACAAGTGATTGGTGGTGTGGGCATCGAACCTTCGGGTTCGCTAAGCCTTTTATTATTTATTTATTATAGAATTATAATAATAGCAAAAATGATAATAATATGATAATTACATTTTCTATCAGTTAAATGTAAGTTGTTCTGAGTGTAAAGGGAAATTTTGGGAATAATGAAGGGCCCTCTATATCCCCTAAAGTAGAAGGTAAGTTTAAGGGCTAGACTCTGACTTCAGACCTTTAGTGATGATAAGGGTATAGTAGAGTATAAGGGATGTATATGCACACCACCAAGGGTGTCCTGTTGGAAATATTTAAAAGGTTGATAGTAGACATCAAGATCTACAAAAAAGTTCATATAAACCATTGCCCAATTCACAGCAGAAAAATAGGAAATTTAAGATTTGTTTTTAAAGTGTCACGTTTTTTGTTGAATAGGAAGCGATAACTAAAAAAATATTTGGTTTGACTAATTAAACATTGCTCCATAGTAAACTAGACAAGATTTACTTCAAACGAAAGTAGAGTTTGTCATGGTTATTAAAACCATTTAAAGAGGGCTATTGAGTGGACAAACTCAGCAATATTCCGTTTTAAAAAATGTCAAATTATTTGTGATTTTTTTTATCATCCATTAACTGTATTACAGTCACCCCAGTTTTAGAAAAACTTCCTCGTTTAATATGCCTTAAGTCGATATTGATTAGATTGAGGTTTATTAGGACAAATTTTGAGATTTATCTGAAGTTATGTAAATAAATGATGTGATTTTTTATCCTATCTCCTCAAACTTCTGTGTTTTCAGCAAAAATGACTACAATTAACTGTTGCAAAGGTGTGGAATAAAAAAAAAAAAAATTGTTTATGACATGTGAGGGTGAAGAAATTGAGTTAAAAAAAAAAAAAAAAAAAAGCACAAGGTATAAAAATTATAGAAGTTAGTCGAGGGTGCAGTTGATACATAAAATACTATATTATATAATAGTATGTTTATTGCACGGTCCAATGTTTCAACCTATGTTGTAGGTCATCTTCAGGATATTTCCTTTGGCACTGCAGCAGACTAATTTCGGTCTGCAATAAACATATTGACTGCATTCCCTACAAACTTCTGTAATTAGGATCTACAGTCAACCATCTCTACACCATTACAGTATAAAAGTTAGTTAATTATGTTTAGGAGCCTGGCGAAAAAATCAGTACTTGTTTCTACATTGAAGATATGTATTACAGAACTTTGAAATTTAATATCAACTGTTAATTAAATAGTCTATTGACTTTTCTTGTTGAAATGTGTAATAATAAAAACACAGCATGACCACATTTAAAGAAAACGAAAACGGAATAAAGGATAAAGGAGGTCGATTAAAAAAATAAATAACCTTTAAAAATATAAGATTTATGTATAATGCAACAGTATATAAATTATAATTGGTATAAAATGATTAAAAAAATAAAACAGAAATAAAATAATTGTGCCTAAATGTTAGAGTCACGAAAACAGGAAATGGATCAACAATGAAAGAATCAGAGTCAGACCAGCAGCAATTATTCCATACATAAGGAATGAGTTAGACTTTTGTGTCTTAATCCTTCCAGAAGAATGAGATGTTCCATCAGTTGAACCAGCTATGTCAACATCCTCTTCCAAGTTGTTAATATCAGCAGGATCTAAAATTAAAAATAATTCAGCATTTTTCACTTCATTCTTATTTATTAAATTTATTGACGTAAATCTCACCTGCATCATTCTCCAGGACGATTATCTGACAATTGGTAAAACCTAAGTTTTCTGTTATGCAGGGGAGAGCTTCATCTTCACTTTCCCCTTCAAATAAATATTCCGAAAATGCAATCTCTGAATCTTCCGGTTTGAAAAGAATCCTTCTTGGGGGAGATCGTAAAAAATATTTAGCTAAAAATAGTAATAATAATATTAGGAATTTTAATTTTCAGGATAACCAGACACAATGATAAAAAAAAATTACAATATTTTTAATTTTACAATATGTTAATAATCTATTATAGTACTAAAATGATAAAACAACTATATTGGTTTAATTAATGATGAGGGGGAAAACAGGTATATTTTTTTTTTTAATTGAGTTGTCATCAGTGAAATTAGAATGGAAAGTTACATTTTTCCAGAGAAAATTATGAAAAGAAAAACATCAGTCTCCTCTTGATAACTTAAATCCCAGAGGCAAATGGATGGAAATAACCAACTTTGAGATATAATGGTCTTAAGTTCACTGGACTTTTAACATTCCTACTCAAGTAGTAAGTCACTACCAAGAAATGTAGGATATAATATTCTCGTACATAAGATAAATAAATATGTATTGTATATTTAAACACAATAACATTAAAAAACAACAATTGTTCATTCTTTTCAAGTTTTAAAGCTATCAATTTTAAGTTTTTCTTCTTGTCCTAATTTTTGCACAAATTTGAGTTTTCTCATTTAAAATGTTCTATCCTTGTATCAGTACAGCTGTTTAATAACACAGTCACCAAGATATGTAAAATCAGTCCCAGGTCATATTAATTTAATAACATTAAAAATAAATTGTAAAATATATTATAATTAAGGCAAAATGCAAAATGTATATTGTAATAAAAATTGTATGATTCAGAATGAAATTATAATTTTGTCTGTAAGAAAAGGCCTTAGGCCCTATGACAATAAACAATTAATCTCCACACATATTATTACATTAAGGTTCGAAATCAATTTAGTACCAAATACAAGCTCTTGCGATTCTCAAATGCCATGAATATGGTACCGATGGATTCAGAATTTCTCAGGGTTAGCGAATCGCAAGTTTAAGTATGTTTTAAGGTGCAGTTGAGTAACAAAGTTGAGATTTGTATTTCGCACTTTGATAAAGCCTCAAATATGAATTTTCATAACAATAAAAAAAATTGTACCCTAATTTTTACCTAATCCTTAGATTTTTTTTTCTTCAAAAATCACAAAAATGGAATAACTTCACAATGATTCCATTTATCTACATGAAAGTTTATGAATACATAAACTACACCAAATGGCATAAAACCAAACCATGTAAACAAATTTGAACTGGAGATATAAAATAAAAACATTTGAGGAGTTTTTCTTTATTTTTGCTTAAGAAAGATGACAAACCTAAAAGAGAAACAATGCAGGTTTCCAAGATTGAATTATGACACAAGTCTGATGAGTTAATTATGCATTAGTAAACAGCAGGGGAAAAAATTCTAATAATAAGAGAATGATTGTTTCTACAGCATCCAATCAACACAACACTACTATCTCTATCCTTCCCACATATATTATTATATTAAGGCTCAAAATCGGTTTTGTACCAAATATAACCTCTAGTGATTCTCAATGCCATGATCATTATAAGCACCGAGTAGATAACAATTGATTTCTTCTTTTTTATTTGCTTATTGTTTTGTCATTTTATCACTGGCCAATATGCTGTATGAATAATTCGCACGGGCCAGCTAGTTAATGTAAAAGAGCTACGACTCAATAAGAAACATAAATTAATTGTTATAGTATAACTGGAAAATTCCAAAGATGAGTTTAACTTTGCATTTACATTTAAAGTTGGATGTCTTGGAGAGATATACCTGTACCAATACAACCCATGAATGGTTTTGGGTTCAGTACTATTTCTCGATCTATGGTTGTGCAAGGAGGTGATTTGGCCAAGATCACGCTCAACCACCAGGTTTTTCTTTTAATTAATTTTTAATTAAGGGTACCAACTTTATAGAGGCTGGGTGTGCTCAAGGAGGGTCTACCTATCCAGGATCGCCACATGGCCAATGAATCAGAATAAATAATTTTTCTGCCATGAGCCGGGATTTGAACCTGGGCTCTTTGGCATTGGAAGCTCAGTACCCTATCACTGAGCTACCCCACTCTCTCTTTGGAGAGATATACTGTCATTATTGACATTTTCTATTTTAAACTGTTGATAAGAGATTGTTAGGTGATTATTGGGTTGTTTTTGTCTTATTGATTTGACTTGGCTGAGTTTGTCTTGAATTGACTGAATGTTAATTAAGTCGATAGTTTGTCAGCATTTTGGAAAACTCAATATTTTATATTTGAAATTTTTCGATTATATCCTAACAAGAGATAAATTAAATTATTGTATCTTTAATTCCATTTGATTAATTTTATAAATAAGGAGTGTTACATTTTTCATTATTAGCTTCTGGCTCCTCAACTGTCTGCCAATGCATTTCCAGCCTAGATGCCAAAGAACGCACAAAGTCATCTTTCACAGCCTAAAATAACAATTTCATTTTTAAAAAAGGTAACAGCAAAAGCTAAACATAATAAATCAAGAGAGAAATAAACCTTGACAGCATCTTCAGCAGTTGCCTTCTCATGAACGAAGGTTCTACTAGCCAATATACCATTAAATCTCAACTCAGAGGTTTTTTCTATTACAAGAGCATCTTCAACATTGTCATCTTTTGGTGGCTCCTATGATTATTAACATAAAATAACTTTCTAAGTATATGAAATCAAATATAATTCAACAACTAATTCAGTTAGTATAAGTATTGTTGAAGAATTCTAATGTAAAATGTTTTAAAAAATGAGAAGGATATCTGTTTAAATTACCATAAATTCAAAGAACATGAGATTAAAGTGATTATCTTCTTCATTATCATCACAATTGTTTTCTTTTATAGATTTCTCAATAGTATTTAAGAGTTGATCGGGTTCACAAAAATTACCATTAATGACATATATTAAACCATCCAGATGTTCCTTAAACTTGTTGAGACACTCCTGGCCGAATAGATATTATGATTGTTAACCAAACCTTTACATTTACAAGGTATTAATAATAAACAAATTGAAATAAAATGCAGCTTACTACTAGATAGAAACATTATCAATATTTTACCAATAATTTTTTCTTAGTTCCCACATGGTCAACAAAAAATGGTGGAAGCCAATCGAAATCTAATACAGAATCTATTTGCAACCAGGAAGTAGTGTATGGTTTGAATTTCCAATCTACAGGGCGTATTGATGAATTTAGGTTGTCCATTTCAATTGTCTTGCAAGTGTATCTAAAGTTATAAAAAACAAGAGATACAAATAATATTACTATCAAATAAACATAATTTATGAAACTAGTAACCACTTACTTCTTGGAAATCGAGCAAAAATGTAGAATCATCTTTTGGTTCGTTGGATCTTTACCATTCATGTAATCATTGCCTTTTGTGCAATTGTGAATTTTATTCGCAATAGCACGTAGCTTAACTAAGGAATTTTTATCGGAGAATAAATCTCCTGGTCCAACAATGAAAAAACCCAGAACCCACATACCACCTGACAACATCCTGGTAACCTGTTTTGAATATTTTTAATAGACATTTTGAACATGTAAATCAAGAAAGTAAATATTTAGAACATGATTAAAATATTAACCACTCTGGCATGTTCTGATATGGCACTTTCATCAATATCAAGTAATTTCTCATATGATTCAACTGCTGGATTTCCATCACCAATCAGTTCATCTTGATTTTGACCTGGTGATGGTGTGATTGGTAAATGAACAATGTAGTCTTTTTGATTAGGAATAGCGCACTGCAAAATATTTTTGGGATTATATGTTTTAATAGATACAATTTGCCAATATTGTGATAAGGATTGAAATGTACCTGTCCTACTATAAGTCCTGGAACAAAACCACCGGATTTAGAAATATCGCATAGATTTTCAATCAATTTTTCATCGGCCAACACTGTCCTTCCCATTATGAAAAACAACAACAAATAAAACAATTAAATAACACTAAGTCGATAAGTACTGACAACTTTACAGGACACGTCTAGAGTACACATTCGACATTCACGAATGAGTAACTGAGGTTGGTCTACAAAGAACTATTAGGTAAGGCCGAGAAAGCTCCAGAGTTCAGAAAACCTTTTAAGTGCAGTTTCTTTTTTGATTCTTAATTATGATTCTTTAGAGTATGTAATCAAAATTACCAATGATGTTCAGACTGCAATATATAATAAACAACTAACTGTCCTTATACTTCTTGACTACTCTAAAGCCTTTGATTCCATTAACCATCCCATCCTTTTCAACAAACTAAAATCACTCTCCTTCTCCAATAGCTCCATCTCTTGGTTCCAATCTTTTCTATCACAACGCACCCAAGCAGTCTCCATTCCTAATCAACCACTATCTGCCTACCTGCCTTTATCCTCTGGAGTTGCCCAAGGATCTAGCATATCTCCTCTCCTTTTTAGTTCCTATATCAATGACCTCCATGACTCAATTCTCCATTGTTCCCACCGCCTTTATACAGAAGATTCCCAAATATACCTATCCTTTTCTCCCCCTGAGCTATTGGTAGCATTTACTAAGATCCAAGCAGACCTAGATCGAATCTGTGCCTGGGCAAAATTAAACGGATTAAGGTTAAATGCTTCAAAAACTCAGGCCATTGTCATTGGTTCCAAGCCCCTCCTTAGATCCTATACGGACTTTCCCATACTAAACCTTGGTGACCAGCCAATCTCCTTCTACTCCTCTGTAAAAAATTTAGGACTATTTATTGATCAAACCCTCTCCTGGAGTCACCATATTTCTCACATCTCCCGACGGACAGTTTCTACCCTCAAACTATTCCATTGCTTCCGCCATCTCCTACCTCAACATACGCGTAGACTCCTCGTTTCCTCTCTCATCTTCCCCCACTTTGACTACTGCTGTGTGGTGTATGATGGACTCTCGGTGGAGCTCCGCGACAGACTGAAAAGAATAATGAACAGTTGCGTGAGATTTGTAATTGGTGCCCCGATATACTACCATGTCTCTCACCATTACACTGAGTTAGAGTGGCTCTTTCCCTCCATTCGAAGACAATATTTCCAAAGTACATTGCTCTATCATATCATCAACAATGCTCAGTCCACTCCCTCTCCACAAGATCTCGACCTTCCGACCTTTACATTCCTTCTCACAGATCTGCCTCGTTCCAAAACTCCTTTATTGCACGTTCTGTTATTTTCTGGAATTCCCTTCCTATCAAAATTCGACATTCTTCATCCTTATCTACATTCAAAACCCTCCTATTCCAATTCCTGTCCCAAAAACAGTCAGGCAACAGCTAACCTTTTATGTAAAATTACATATTATCTATAAGACCATATTCACATATAGCTCATGACCTGAATACTTATTATAGATTCGACTTTCTTTTTCTCTTTTTTTTTTTTTTCAACAGAAACAGATTTTACTATTAAGAAGAATATACATTTATTTTGTCTGTATTTTTTATTTTTTCTAAAAGGGTTTATTTATATTTTAACATTGTACATAGTTTTAAATATATTAGTATGGTTTAAAGAGTTTTTTATATAGATTTTTTATTTTTATTTTGTATATAGTATGTATAACCAATATTTTTTTCTTTTCTTTTCTTTAATGACCTATCTTTATCTTAATTTGTTATGTTTGTTTTTATCTGGCCAGATGTAAAATTTTAATTTCTGTACTTTTTTGTTATTCTGAAGGGACTTCGTCCCAGAATAAAATTATTTTTCTATTCTATTCTATTCTATGTAGAAATGCAGGTTGCCACCAACTATTATGTTCGGGTTAACCTTGGTCACGACGGTGGATACTTTTTATTATAAACAAATTCTAATATTTTAATATTGTGTCGATGCATTGAATTCAATATTGTAATAAAATAATACAAAGAAAAGTACCAATATCGAGTTTCAATATCAAACCTTATCTATCCCGGAGACCAGAATTAATTTTAATAATTTATTTATTTATGTGTTTTAGAGTGATAAATTTCAGAATTTTTATGCCCGCCATATATGTTTAAATACATTATGGATTAATAAACCTATTTAAATACTTTTACATAGTTAGGTGTATTTCAATACTTATTTAGAAGAGGGAGGATACTGACCCTTGTTTTCTTTTCCGAGATTTAGGCAATTCCTTCCTCGTTCGCTTAATGTACTATTCCAATTTTTGGATTCAATTTCGCGTTTTCCACCATTTTGATACCAAATACTAACGTTAAACAAAAAATCTAGTGCGTGCAACACAACTTTCACTTACCGCTCAACTTTGAATAGAAATTATTTTCTGGACATGTTGGGCTATTACAAAATTTTTGAATTGCATTTTTAACTGAGCTAAAGCTAAAAAATTACAGCTAACAAATCATAAACACCATTAAAATAACAAAAGTTTTATTTATTATATCATCGGTTGATTATGAATTGTACGATTCGTTGATTATGGATTGTACGATCCGTTGATTATGGATTGTTCTATTAGTTATTAAACTGTTATTTTCCATTGCAAAGTTTACTAAAAAGGGATTAAGAGATTTGCATTGTCTGTTATTGACAGGTTAAAAGTTGCCACACTGATTGTAAGTGGATTCTGTTGGAATATAGCGAAGGGGAAATTATTCACTAATTTAATTTTATAAAAGATTTTACGGAATAAACAGAGGATAGACATCTAATTATTTAAACATAATATCAGATCTACAGTTATTAAACTACAGTATATATATTTAAGTTATAAATGTATCCATGAAATATTTTTATATTTCACTACTTTTTTCACACAAGTACAATGAAATAGTATCTTAAACAATGTCATTGCCTTGAATCCGTGGGTTTTAAATAATTTTTAAACTTAAAAAAATAATTAAAAGTTTACATTTAGTAAAAAAAATGCATTTAATTTCCTTGAAAACACTTAATTTACGTTAAATAATGTTAGTTTTTAGAAATTATTATTTATATTTTTTTCGTCACTTTCCGTTACCTTCTACAATGTTCTATATGATATATTGTTGTTTTTTTAATTATCCGCTTTCCAACAATGTATTACTTGTATTCCTTCTGACTAGTATTTCCGGATAGTCATTTTCAACCTGGATAAGTATTTTTCTTTTTTTTCTCTCCTTTATTTAATTATCAAATTCTTCGAAAAGTTATATTTAGCATTTTTCCATAACTCCTAACAATGATAAATAGTTATTATTTATAATAAACCAATTTAAAGGTATTTTAGAGCAAGACGTTTTATTTTAGAGCAACATTTTCTTAAAATGTTGTTGTGGCATCTAAGGCATATACCTATCTTAAATACGTAATATCATGTTCGTACGACTTTTCATTTTCGAGCTAGAGTGTTCACATACACACTGTCACACAGGCCATTTTTCGGGACTTCGTAATTTGGACTCAGGGTATCTCAAAACATGTATTACCGTTGAAGACTTAGACTCTAAAATGTTCACGATCGCAATACCTACTCTTACTGTATATTACATATACTTCTACAACTTTCAATATTATACATTGTTTCTTTTAATTCTTCGCTTTCCAATGATATATCATACGTATATCTTCTGTCTATTATTTCCGAACATTCATTTACAACCTGGATAAATATTTTTCTCCTATTTTTAATTGTCCTTTCGAGTACGCTGCGGAACGGCATTTTCCAATATTTATCCGGTGTTCCCCAGGACACTGTCTTGGGTCCCTTGTTTTACGTCCTCTTCACCGCTGACATCCCTGCTCATTCCGATACTTTTCTTGCAACATTTGCTGATGACACCACAATCCTATCATCCAACTCAGATCCTGAAATAGTATCCTTAAATCTACAAAGGCACCTCTCCCTGATCGGGCACTGGTGTGATGAATGGCACATTGGAGTGAATGAGTCGAAATGCAAACATATTACCTCTAATCTTCGACGCAATTCCTGTCCACCAGTGCACTTTAATTCCATCCAGCTTCCTTACTCAGACACGGTTCGGTACCATGTCTTTCTCTTAGACCGAAGATTGACATGGAACACACATACTAGACTCAAAAGACAAGAACTCAACCGACGATATAATCAGTTACGGCTATATAAACTAATATCTTAGTTTTTCTTAAACAGATTGATCCTTGTCTTATTAACACTCGAATATGTATAAATACATCTCTTTAAAGTTCTCCATTTTTTCTACAGAGTCTTTTTTGTTGATTCCACGTTTTACAGGTTAAAGTTGAAAAGGGTATGATAAAGGATTACTTCAAATTAATATTGATTTTTAAAAATTATTATTAAGAAATATGTAATTTGTAATTTAACTTGCAAAGAGTGAAAGTTAGGAAAATAAATTAAAAGAATTTTTTGTTGTTTTGAAAAAAAAATGATAAAAATATTAAAATGTCGATGTTAAACAAATAAAATGTCGATTTATTGTATGCTTAAGCTATAAATAATTTAATACGGTTAATAGTTTTAATGACCAAATGTTTTTTACTTTAGGACAAACAGGCGCGTGCATGCTTACACACACCAATACACAGGCGGATCTACGGGGGTGGGGAGGGGGCTTTCGCGCTGAAGCCCCCCCAAAATGGTAAAATATAATCATGTTTTACAGAAAAAATATTAAAAACTATCTCTTAAAGTATTCTTGTTCGTTTAATTATATTTAATAGGACTTCAAGAACCACTTAAACACCATTTCATATAGGTAGTTAATTTCTTTCTTTTTTTTTTTCAAATTAAGTATCGTTATATGTATATGAAAAAAAAATCTTTCGGGCTGAGCCCCCCAAAATAAAATCCTGAATCCGCTAGTGCACCAATATAAATATTATATTACAATTAGTTACATAAATAATTCGAAAATAATTGTAGGTCATATATTTTAGTTATAACTCTGGGCCCAAAAAAACAACAAATGAACAATAATTTAATAATTCTTACTTTCTCACTTTGTCCTATTAAAAAACTGCCAAAAATTGAGTTCTTTAGTGCTGTCCCTTTCTTCCTTTACCACCAA